TGCGTGCTACACAGCACAAGACAAAACAGGACATGAAAAGCACGCAGCCGATAACATGAACTGTGTGCAACAACAACACAAGACAACAAGAAAAGCACGTGGCTGAACACAAACCGCGTGCTACACAAAACACGTGGACAGAACAGCGCACGGCTGAGCGAACTCGAGATCGCACGTTCCCACAACAAGACAGAACATGTAGCGCGAGTGTCCGGACCCGACACGAAACCGAAACTCAACAAGACATAAGTGCCGGAATCAGAACACCACGCTCCAACATGAAACAGGACACACAGACGAGAGCGCACGGTTCGAGCACTCTCGAAGCCGCGCGCTCACATGAAAACAACGACATAACGGGAGTGTCAGGGCTCTGTCACAAAACCATGAATAACACTAGACCGGAGTGACAGAACCCTGATACTACCCCCACTCAAAAGGGACGCCACCTGGCGTCCCTAATGAGGAACACCCAAAAACAAGACTGGAACATGACAGCACAAGACCAGAACAAATATGACAACACAAGACCGACACACAACAACAGACAACACAAGACAGGGGAATCAAAACACAGAGACAAAGAGGGGAGGGATGGAGGGAGGGGAGCCAAGCCAGCCAACAGGAAAGCCCAGACAGTCATTAAAGGGACCAGGGAGGGGCGGGAGGGCTGAGCCAGGGAGGCTCAGGCAGTTCAGGAGTCCTGGCGGATGACCAGGGCAGGACCGGTGGGTCGAACCAGGCGGGCTCAAGCACCTCTGCAGTCCTGGCAGGAGGCCAGGGCGGAGCCGGAAGGACATGGAGCTTGAGCGGAGCCAGCAGGGCAAGGAGCTTGGGCGAAGCCGGAAGAGCAAGGAGTCTGGATGGAGCCGGCAGGGAAAGGAGCTTGGACAGGACAGGCAGATCAAACTCTGGCATAACTTGAATCAGGGTGATGAAGGGAAATACCATGAAGGTGACAGTCCCAAGGGGAGTTTTGCCAGTGTAGTGGGCATGGGTCTGGCTGGCCTTCAGATTAGGCACAAGAGTCATTTTGAAGTAGTTCCAGGGCTTAGAAGTGAACTCTGGAGGCCCCGGGGTGGAGCAGACTCTGGGACAGCCTCTGTGGTCATGACTGGGAAAATATACTGCTCTGGGATGGCCTCCATGTCCGCAGAAGACTCTAGCTGGCAGACTTGTCCACAGTCAGAGGAAGACGTGTGCATTTTCCAGGCACGCAGAACGGCCAAAACATAGAAGGTGAAGACAGCCCTCTTGGCCATGGCAGGGCTGACTGGGAAAATGGGTGGCTCTGGAACAACCTCCGGGCTGGGAGCGGGCTCTGGAACGGCCTCTGGAGCCCCAACAGGACTGGAGGAAGCCAGCTGAACAGTGTATGCAGCCCAGACACACATAACAGCAGCAACGTACAAGGAGAGGGCAGTCTCTTCAACCGCAACAGGACAGGAACAGTGGGCTGCTCAGGGACCGCCTCCATGGCCATAACAGGGAGCTCTGGGACTACTACACTTGGGGGCTCTGGGACCACCGGCGTCAGGTCCTCCTGGACCCTCAGATTAGGGGAAGCGACAGGAGTCCTCCATCTCCTGCGCTTGTGAGGGCGAGGCGGTGGCACGGAGCTTACCACCTCTGGGGGTACTGCAGCATTTTCAGCCACCTCTGGGGGCGATGTCCTTGAGCTCTGCATCACTGATGTTGAGTCCCTCCGCTACAAACAGGAACTGGTACGCAAAATCCTTCACACTGGCTCCCCCTTGCCAAAGAGAAAGGAGCCTCCCTGCGTTGAGCAGCTATCTGATGAGTGTAGGGGAGATGGGAACAGGAAGATGCCCATTGTTCTGCTGAGTCCTCTATTGGCCAGTTCGTACTGTCAGGGTTGGGGATGAAGGGATGAGGCGAGGACTCAGTAGTGCAGAGTAATGGGCTTTTAATAGTAAAATAAAACAAAACAAACAAAAAAAACTACCGCGTTGTGGAAAAACAGGCTGGCAAGGCAGAATCAGGACAGGACACGACACGACATGACAGGATACATTCAACGGTGATACAATGACGAACTAGCACGGGACTGCAAACACAAGGAGAATAAATAGGGAGCAAATGAGGAGGGTAACGAGGGAACACATGTAGGGCAAATTAACCAATAATCAGGTAACAAGATGGGTGGGGTCAAGACAATTGACATGAGAGCACATTGTACATAGGAAACAAAGAAATATGCCATGTGCTCACACAAAACAAACACAAGCACATGGCCAGAAAAGCAATCACAAGCCATGTGCTTGAACAAAACAAGACACGAACACGCAGCTAATGAGAAAACTCATAAGCCGCGTGTTCACACAAGACAAGACAGCACGCAGCCAGCAAAAACCAAGCTGCGTGCTACACAGCACAAGACAAAACAGGACATAAAACAGCAGCCGATAACACGAGCTGCGTGCAACAACAACACAAGACAACAAGAAAAGCACGTGGCTGAACACAAACCATGTGCTACACAAAACACAACACACGTGGACAGAAGAGGGCACGGCCGAGCGAACTCGAGACCGCACGCTCCCACAACAAGACAGAACATGGAGCGCGAGTGTCCGGACCCCGACACGAAACCGAAACTCAACAAGACATAAGTGCCGGGATCAGAACACCACACTCCAACATGAAACAGGACACACAGACAAGAGCTCACATGAAAACAACGACATGGCGGGAGTGTCAGGGCTCTGTCACAAAACCATGAATAACACTAGACTGAAGTGACAGAACCCTGACCGATAGTTCACCCAAAATTTTTAATTTGATGTTTATCTGCTTACCCCCAGGGCATCCAAGATGTAGGTGACTTTGTTTCTTCAGTAGAACACAAATTAAAATGATGAGAATGTGAGTAAATGATCACAGAACTTTCATTTTTCATCTTTAATTTCATATTAACTTGATGCATGAATACGCAGTATAAATAAATGAATTTAAATACATGACAAAAGATGCAGCAACTTGTTCCTGAGACTTGACTCGGACTCGAGTCCCAAATTTGATGACTTGCGACTCGACTCGACATAATTAAAGAAGACTTGAGACTCGACTTAGACTTTGACAGCAATGACTCGAGACTTGACTTGGACTTGATCCCTGTGACTCGGAAAGACTTTATGATCTGATCAGATCAGAGTCGTTATTACTCTAGACGCATCCCTGCGTGCTTGCGCTTGATTGGCAAAAAGCCAGAGACTGTGTTCAGGGAGTCTCGGGACTTGACTCGAGAATTGAATGCAAAGACTCGAGACTTACTTGTGACTTGCAAAACAACGACTTGGTCACACCTCTGGGTGGCGGTAATGCACTTATAAGTCTGCAATCCCCCATAAATGTCATGCACCGGCTGTCGAGGGACACGTTCAGGACAGTTCAGAACAGTTCAGACATTGCAATGCATCAGAGGTAAAAAAAAAAACGATATAAATACTGTTCAGTTTCTTGCACAGACCGATCGTTTCATGTTTTTACACATCAATGTATCATCACGAGCCGCTGGGTTTAATTTGGTTTTGTTTGTGTATGTTTTTTTTTTACTCTCAAAGCCGTGATTCCCATTCACTTCCATTATATGACTGACAGACTGCAACGGTTTGAGTTAAAAAT